TATTTTGGCTGATGATGTTTGTTCGGAAGAGGATTCACAGAGTTGGCAGAGGATGGTTCACGCAGTCGGACCAGAGTTGTTTTATATGAGTGTCGTAGTTGGTTTACGCAATAATCGAGTGATAGTTGGTTTATTTGTTTATAACAGTTCATTTTAGTGTGCTCGGTAGTACATTGAAATACATTTTCGTATTCTTTTTTAACTGATTGTATGGATTATGCATTTTCAAGTTTATTTTTGATGATGTTAAGTTATTGTCATTCAAATGTATTTGCAGTCTATTTAATCATTTTTAGTATTCAGCATTTTTAAGTTCGTTTCATGATTTTAGGTTCATATGATGCTGAAATTGTTATTTATGATGATGATGGAACAGGGGGTGGGGGTGAACTTGTTGGAGCCGTTGATGCCACTGGAAGTGAGGCATTGAATGCAGGCTTTGTGCAGCTGTTCGAAGAAGAAGTCGACTGCATTCCTGATGATAGCGACGAGGACATAAACTCAATGAATTCAAATGATTCCGATGGTTGTTATTTTCCAAACCACCCTATGATTTGATATGTTTAATTAATGTCGTGTTTACGATGTAATGGCTCAGTAGCTTCGGTTAAGTGTTAAACCGTTGTAATACAGTAGTATACTATTATGAATACCGTATGATACTACCATTATCATTTTATTATACTATTATGAGATTATTAATGTACTAGAGTTTTTTAACTCGACATATTGGTTTGATTGTGTTATGATGTGTTTTAAGTATTTTATCAAAACCCTAGATTGAAATTATGAGATTATTAATGTACTATTTTATTGGTTATGTTGTAATGACTTTACGTTGGTTTTGTTCTCAATGTTCTTGTCATTTCAGTGGTATATTGTTTGTAACACAATTTCATATCACTACTATAACCGTAATATACTATCATAGCAGATTAATGTACTATATTGAAATTATTAATATACTATGTGGTTGAATAATACGGGATCCATAGCCGATTAACGAAATCCATAGTCGAATTAGATCAATGAGATAGTCTATTACATGATATGGGATAGTCTAACAATATTAAAACACAAATCCGCCGCCATCACTTATCAGATCTAGGATTCTGTTGATTCTTCGGCTCAATAGTCAGATAACTAAACCCATAGTCGAATTAGATATATGGGATAGTCTTTTAAATGATATGAGATAGTCTATTGATTTTAAAACACAAATCCGCCGCCGTCACTTCTCAAATCTAGGGTTTTGATGATTCTTCGGCCCATAGTCGATTAACGAGATCCATAGTCAAATTATATCAGTGGGATAGTCTATTAAATGATATGGGATAGTCTATTAATACAGATGTAATTCGACTATGCATCTCGTTAATCAACTATGGGCCGAAGAATTATCAAAACCCTAGATTTGAGTAATCCTAGATTTGAGTAACCCTAGATTGGAGCAGTGACGGCGGCGGCGACGGCGGCGGCGACGGCGATATCACTCCTAAATTGATTGTTACGACCTTGGAGGCGGGAGCGGCGGAGGTCTTGGTCGTTTTTGGCGGTCTTGGAGGTGGAGGTGGTCGGATGTGGTGGTGGTGGAGGACTAGGCGGTGGTGGAGGTGTTGCTTATGGCCAATATCGTTGTTATCGTCGTTGGCCACCGGCGAAAACGGTGACGGAGGTGGTGGCGGTCGGAGATGGAAGCGGCGAACCCGGCAGGAAAATAGGGAGGGATTTCGGAGTGCAGAAAATCGTCAATCGCCGGTGTATAAATTTCTGGTTTTCTTTGGGACGTTTGCAGATTTTGGTAGTGGGTTTGTGGGGATAGTGTTTTAACGGGAAAATAGGGTTGAGTTGATATTATTTCAAAAGGTAAAGTAACGGGATTTGTGGGATTTAATTGAGGGTACTGATGTAATTTAGAGAAATATGAGTTTTTATCAAAATGACAAATTTGAGTTTGGGTCTACCCTTATTATTTGTAAGACTAAGGGGGTTTTATCTAATAGATCCTATATTTAGATTCGTAATTTCTACTATATTTTTATTCATGATTTTTTTAATCTATTTAGTTCTCTTTGCTTCGTCCTAGGCTTTACAATACATGAATATATGTTGTATCTACCATTATAATTATCTATTGGTCTTCATATAAATTATAATATTCGTTATATCATGGTCAATGAGAAAAATAGGATTCATTAGATGTTCAAAGCTAAGGTATTTGTCTAATTTAATTTGTTTCTAAAATTGAAAATAAATTAAGTTATAATTTTAGTTTATATTATTAATATGAGTTAATTGCAAATACCACCCCTGTGAAATCTCTAATTGTCAAATACCCCCCGTCAAAAAATAATTCGCTTATAACCCCATGTGTAAACAAAGTCAAAGGCATTGAGACCCCCGAGAGCAAATCGTGTCTCTCACGCGCTCCTACTGCGATTTTTTCTTAATTTTCAACTGTGAAATGTCAAAAATGTCCCCAAGCCCCTTCTCCCTCCCTGTTCTTCATTCCCCGTTGTCCCCAACCTAACATACTTCATTCTCCATATCTCAACATGTAGATGAAGATGGTGTAACAAAACTCCCTCTTGACGGTCGCGGAATTACTCCGCTACAACTCCTTTATGGGCCTCCATTTTCGCCGCCCCAGTCGTCATAATTTATGGCCCTCCGCCTCCCACCGCTGCACCTCCGCCGCGAAATGGGCAACCCTCAATTGGAGAAAGCGAGTCCAAACCTCGGCTCATCCCCACTTCAATTCTCCCTCCTACTTCCACAACAACATCGCCGGACCCGCCGCCATTTTTAGACCTGCAAAAACGCATTCCATAGCCATCTACAGACCCTTCATCGTAAATCGACAAAATCGATCACGCCGCGAGCTTCTACACCGCCACCAAAAAATTCGGAGCTTGAAGAAGTCTAAACAATTGATGGATGTGGTGGTGCGTGGTGGGCGGCGGCGGTGAATAATATGTATGATTGGAAATTGAGAGGAAGGTGGGGAATTCGCTGCCGCTGGGAAAAATTGCAAAAAGTTGGGAGATGGATTTTGGAAAATTGCAATTTAATCCCCCAATTTAAGTTTTAGAAGTTAACAAATTCCAATTTGACCTCTTCAATTATTATAATTTTATGTTATTCCACTTAGGGGTATACCTGTCGTTTTACCTTCAGTCAACCATTAAAATGATAATGGGTGCTGTGAGCTTCGAAAAATATTACATAGGGGGGTATGAGCGAATTTTTTTTGACAGGGGGGTATTTGACAATTAGAGATTTCACAGAGGTGGTATTTGCAATTAACTCTTATTAATATATTAAATATTCTTATTTCTTTACTAGTAGTTACACATAAATATACACATACATGTTTTATTCACTTTTACGAAGATCAACATTTTAGCAGGTACTATTTCAATGCTCGAGCAGTCGATCAGCCCTGAACCGTAGAGTCGAATTTTAGCACCGTAGGCAATTTTGAAATGGAAGTCACATTCCAACAAAATATTCATCTGAGCAATTTGAGCATGTTAACTACAAAAAACAATTGAATCTTCAACTCGCGGTCAAGAAGCGTTTAGAGGTAATAATAGCTAGCCGCCTAACAATTTTTTGTCTTCCCTTTTAACGTTTTCCAAGTCCTTTTCTTTCTTTTCCACCTTAGAACCGCCATTTTCTCCAATACCCGACATCGATATTTTTTACGATTCTTGAACCAAGATGAGTAATCCTTACCTTGTTTGCATTCAACAAAACTGGCCAAATCATCAAAATCGTTATTTTCTCCCATATTTAAAACGCACTTCAAGAAAAACTCCCCGTTGCTCGTCTCTTCCGTTTCTTCTTCTAAGCCCGCAACTCGCTCCGTATCCAAAGTTTCTGAACTCAAAGTTTCCCTTGTGTTATATTTATTTTCCTTTAGACTGCAAAAGAGTTGATTACTGATAAGCAGTACATACTATATTGACTAATCAATGTTAAACAACTTTTAAAGAGTATATACTATGTACAGTTAAACCTTTTAACTCTATAAATTAATACGTCGGTTGGGACTGGCAAAATTCTATTAATTTAGCGAAATATTGAATTATCGAGCTAATAATTAAGTACGTTTTTACCGACTCGGGACCGTCAGAAATTATTATTTAAACGAGGTTATTAATTTATCGAGGTTCTAATGTAGTAACAAGAACGACAGAAAGTACAAGCAAAGTAACACAAGTTACCTCGAATAAAGAGACTGTATCTTATGGAACTTCGATGCGACCACAAAGCTGGAGTTTCGGTCAGTCTTAGTCTACATTATCATAAATAAAAAAAAATATTAAAAAAAATAAAAAAAAAATTTGAGCAATTGATATCCAAAAAAAATATGCCATGTACAAATTTCAGATAAAAGGGAAAATAATAAATTACCTCATGGAATCCGATAAACGAAAAAGATCCGTTCTTGGCATCACTTAAAGATTCCAACGCGTCCAGGTCACCCTCCTCGAAAATAAATAGATTCAACAGAGCAAGAATTGCCAACAAACAGGCCTTCACTAAGCAATCGAGCCCAGTGACAAAGCTTAGTGACATCAGTCCCGAGAAATGCAAGAACATCATCTTCGAATCCACATGCCTCGTAGGATGATTAGACATCGCCTTGGATAGATCTTGTTGTAACGACAAACCGATGTCCAAATCACCGAAACACGCGATTGCGCCTAAAACGAACTTATACTCCTTGCACGAGGGCAAGTCTTTCAAGGTCTTGAGGCGACGTAATTCATCACTGTTTCTAAGGCATCGAATAGTTTGTAGTAACGAGATGCTCATTAGTTTCAATATAGAAGCAAGAAGATATATATTCTGCAGAGATGCACGCTCGATCGGACGTACAGCTTCGTCGTCGTAGCTTTCAGAGGCTTTGAGGATCAAGCAGCTTAAGATGGATAAGATCTCGTCTTCGCACGATAGGGCGTAAGCGTTCTGACACTCCTTCGCGAATCTCATGCAAGAACTCACCATGTCCGATTTCATCCTAAATAAACTGTCGTCCAAGTCCAGATTCAAATCGGCGATTAGACGATCGACCTTATTTTTCGTCTCTGGGGTTACGTAAAGCTCGAATGGTGGGTAAGCAATACCGTGCGGTGAATCGGAAGTGAAGCCCGAATACGGATACCCATCTGTTTGCAAACAAGACATGTGTCGCATGTACAAAGCGACGGATTTTTCGAAGGTTGATAGGAAGCAGTTGGTTAGTTTACGATCCGGTTGCAAGTTCTTGATATTAACTGCTTCGGAAACTAGTGAAATCAAATGGGCTTGAACGTATTTCGGAGCAGAAACCATGATAGGGTTAAGAAGTAACGATACAGCTGTCGTAACGCTCAAAGCTGGCGCTCTGTAAGGATATTTTTCTTCTACTGCATGCGTAGAAAATAGTCGATCGAGAAAATCTTCGAAAACTTGCTTATGGGAAAATGAGATGATAAAATGGTTACAGATTGCTTCCATCCCAATATCACTGTGAGCAGATTGCAAATTGAATAGCGTTTCATTGATATGAACAACAGAATTAATCATCCGGAAGTAATTCCTTAATTGCCCATGCGTAAACAGCTCATCTACAAATACCTGCCCATAAAAAAACCCCCCTGAACTTACGCTTAATAACGAAAAACACCCCCACCTATCCATAATAACCAAAATCCCCATCTGATTAACTGTTGATCGAGTTTTCTTTTTAACATCAAATGTGTACAGTCTATTATACCTACATTCTGTTAAATAGGTGAGAAATAAAAGAAAATATCTGAAATTGTATAAAGCCTATTCCCTGGAATAAAAAAAAATCCGTGAAAAGTCACACTGTAAGGGGTTGGTGAAAGACGGAAACAAACCTTAGGGGGTTTTTGGTAATTACGAATAGGTGGAGGTGGTTATGTGTACTTTGATCTATGTTTAGGGGGTCTTTCGTAATTTACCCGGTTACGACCGTAGCATCAAACAAATCTCATCCAAAACACTTCAAATTTGATCAAATAGTTATATATAAAAAAAGAATAAATAAAGAATAAAAGTAGACATGAAAAATTACCTCAAGAATCGTAGACATGAAAAAAAGGAGAGGATCGTAAGGCTCCAAAAACTGTAAGGAAGCAGTGAAGCCCTCAACAGAGGATGTAGAGCAGCAGCCATTTTCACCACAAATAACCGATTTCTCAAACACAAAAGTGTTTCTTCCCCCCGTTTTCTCAACTAAGTGGTGCGAATTCGACTTTCTGAGTATCCTTGCCAAAATCGGCCATTTTTCCAGGATAAGTTTTTGGCTGGGTTCGAGCAAAGTCAAGACAACCATACAACATCTGAATAGCAAATTAACTACTTCAACAGCGTCGAAGAAACCTGAATCAGAGATAATACTCTCTCGAAGATTCTCGTCGGCACATAAGTTTGAGAATAATCGTTCAAATTTTTCTTCCAAGTGTGTGAAGAGTGCATTAGAGAGTTCGTTAATATCTGCAAAGGTCAGTTTGATACAATAGTGACAAATTTCGAGGTCGAATTCACGTGCTGCAAACTTGTAGCTCAACTTTGCATTTGAAGAAAATTCGTCGAGAAGGCCATACAAATCCTTCAAGACTTCGGGTTTTGCTCCCTTAAAAAAAAATTATATCATGTGTCCGAATACAGAAAGCAGCCAAATACCAAATTGATTAGCCCTAATCAGTAATTACCCAACCCCAACCCGACCAACACAAAATAAAAATAAAAATAAAATCAGAATTAATGATCACAAATTCAGAAACTGAACAAATGCAATAGTTGGCCGAATCAATTTCTTGAAAAAGCATCCCTTTTGGGGGAAACTAGGGCTTAATCGTCTATTTGCAGAAACTAGGGCTTAATCAAAAAAAACAATTAAGAGAGGAAAATAGAAAGCTTAATACCTCGGGGGAATGGATGCCAGGGAAAAGGGTTTTGAAATTGCAGAAATTATCCTCCATTGGAGGACCTTCGATTTCGATTTCGAGCCTTCTTTTGCTGCTGCTCCGCCCACTCTTCGAATAATCCCTCTTAAATCAGTGAACGCAACTATATTGTTCACAAATAAAAATTCTAGGTTTGGGCGCCAAATTATAATAATAATAATAATAATAATAATAATAATAATAATAATAATAATAATAATAATAATAATAATAATAATAATAATAATAATAATAATAATAATAATAATAATAATAATAATAATAATAATAATAATAATAATAATAATAATAATAATAATAATAATAATAATAATAATAATAATAATAATAATAATAATAATAATAATAATAATAATAATAATAATAATAATAATAATAATAATATTATTATTATTATTATTATTATTATTATTATTATTATTATTATTATTATTATTATTATTATTATTATTATTATTATTATTATTATTATTATTATTATTATTTAAATTTTTTGATAAGATATTATTTTATTTTATTTAAGAACATGCTCTATTCCCTTTATAATATGTATGTATGTATAGTGGCGAGTTCATGGATGTGTTGCAGGGTGGGCTTAAATTTTCAAGAGTATATAGCGCCCCCGAAAAAAAATTAGAATTTTTTTGTCACAAAATCAGGAAATAGAAAAATAAAAAGAAGAAAATATTTGAGCTTTTTAAAGTTAATTTGAATTTTAGGTGGGCTAATAATAATTGGGTTTAATTTGTATTAATTTGGAGTTTGGATGGACTAATTAATAAAAATTGGATGAGCATAATAGATGTGTAGATATAATATAGAGGGGAATTTGTAAATGAGGGTGGGCTTGAGTCTACCCTGCCAAAGAAAGAAACGCTGGGTAATCCTAAGAAACCCTAATTGCATATTTGTAATTTTTTGTTTTTTTAATATTTTTTTTTCATTTTATCTCCTGGATATTATTTGTAAGGGCAAATTACCAAAAACCCCCTGAGGTAAGCCTAAATAACGAAAATCCCCCCCACGTTTTCGTAATTACAAAAACCCCCCTTGACTAACGGTTGACCGAATTTTTTTAACTGAAAACGTGAAATGTCTATTATATCCTTCTGTTAAATATGTGAAAATAAAACAAAAAAGGTGAAATTTGGGCAGAATTCTCATGAGATAGACATTTTCACCATCACATATGAAATGATCCAGCTAAATATTCAAAATTACGACCGATCAAACCATTTGATTACGGCAAAAGCAAAATTCACAGAAATAGAAAAAAAATCAGGCATACAGAAATGAAAAATCAGACCAATCACAGTACGCATCATAAGATCTTCGTATTCAGAAATTCACGGAGAAATTAACCTCGAAAATTGTGAAATTGATTACCTTTCCTGGCCGGCGGTGTCCCAAATCTGGGCCTTGACAACCTTGTCGTCGACCTGAATCGAACGCGTCGCGAACTCAACGCCGATCGTGGATTTGGACTGCTGGCTGAACTCGTTCTTCGTGAACCGAGACAGAAGATTCGATTTTTCGACGCCGGAATCGCCAATCAGAACCACCTTGAAGAGGTAATCGTAATCCTCATCCGCTCTGTACGCTCCCATTTGTTTGTTTATGCTGCGGGATCTTCTTCTTCTTCTTCTTCCGTGATTCGTTGATCTCTCTCTCTCTTCTTATTCTCTTCCGTGAAGAAAAAATGATATTCTTGTGTACAAGGGCAAAATTGGTATTATTGGAGGAATATTCGGGAGAATCAAAAAGATTCTATCAAGTTTAACACCGTTAGAGCGATTTGTAAGATGTCTGCATACCTCAGGGGGGTTTTCGTAATTACGAGAACGTGGGGGGATTTTCGTTATTCAGACTTACCTCAGGGGGTTTTGGTAATTTGCCCTATTTGTAATTTTTTATTTCTTTTCGATCTCATTTTTTTTCCGATTTTTATCACATTTTTAATATTATTTTCTCTCCAGCATATTATTTGTAATTTTTTATTTATTTCCAATCTCAATTTTTTTTCCGAGTTTTATCACATTTTTAATATTATTTTATCTCTCGCATATTTTTTGTAATTTTTTATTTATTTTCGATCTCAATTTTTTTTTTTCGTTTTTATCTCCTGCATATTATTTATAATTTTTAGTTCTTTTCGATCTCAATTTTTTTCCCGATTTTTATCACATTTTTAATACTATTTTATCTCCAGCATATTATTTGTAATTTTTTATTTTTTTCCGATCTCAATTTGTTTTTCCGAGTTTTATCACATTTTTAATATTATTTTATCTCCAGCATATGTTTTGTAATTTTTTATTTATTTTCGTTCTCAATTTTTTTTTTCCGATTTATATCACATTTTTAATATTATTTTATCTCCAGCATATTTTTTTTTATCACATTTTTAATATTATTTTATCTCCAGCATATTTTTTGTAATTTTTTAATTATTTTTTATCTCAGATTTTTTTTTTCTATTTTTATGACATTTTTAATATTTTTTTATCTCCTTCATATTTTTTGTAATTTTTTAAAACGAAAGAAACGATGGGCAACCCTAAGAAACCCTAATGGCATATTTGTAATTTTTTGTTTTTTGTAATTTTTATTTTTTTTTGCGTTTTTATCTCCTGCATATTATTTGGAATTTTTTATTTCTTTTCGATCTCAATTTTTTTCCGATTTTTATCACATTTTTAATATTATTTTATCTCCAGCATATTATTTGTAATTTTTATTTATTTGTTATCTCAATTGTTTTTCCGATTTTTCACATTTTTAATATTATTTTATCTCCAACATATGTTTTGTAATTTTTTATTTATCTTCGATCTCAATTTTTTTTTTCCAATTTATATCACATTTTTAATATTATTTTATCTCCAGCATATTTTTTATCACATTTTTAATATTATTTTATCTTCAACATAATTTTTGTAATTATTTATTTATTTTTTATCTCAATTTTTTTTTCTATTTTTATCACATTTTTAATATTATTTTATCTTCTGCATATTTTTTGTAATTTTTTAAAAAGAAAGAAACGATGGGCAACCCCAAGAAACCCTAATGGCATATTTGTAATTTTTTGTTTTTGTAATTATTTTTTTTCGTTTTTATCTCGTGCATATTATTTGTATTTTTTATTTCTTTTCGATCTCAATTTTTTTTGCCAATTTTTATCACATTTTTAATATTATTTTATCTCCAGCATATTATTTGTAATTTTTTATTGATTTCCGATCTCAATTTTTATCGAGTTTTATCACATTTTTAATATTATTTTATCTCGAGCATATTTTTTGTAAATATTTATTTATTTTCGATCTCAATTTTCTTTCGACTTATATCATATTTTGGTAAGTACTTACATTTACTTACATGTTGATTAGATTAAGTTTAAGTAATTGTTAATGATCTACTTTATTTATTAGCATTGTAGGTAGAAATAGTATTTCCAATGCTTTCCACAGCAGTAAGTTACTAATAAATGAAAACTTAGAGGAACATAGAGAGTACAAAGAAAAGTGAATTTGTTCAACATAACAAATATATTTTATAATTTATACTATCTTATAATTTGTGAGTTTGTTCAACATTACAAATATTACTTTAAATTTTATACTATCTCATAATTTATTGTTATATATTTGTACATGAATATAGATTGATGATGCAAGCTGGAACATTTTCTCAATCAATTAATCAAATATATAGAGATGGCCTTTTTCGATGATATGTTGTCGGTAAGTTAGTTTTGATTATGTTAACTAAGTTAATTAAATAGTAAAGTTATTTGCTTATTTTTTATTTTTTGGTTTGTGTAGTAAATATACTTAAGGGATAATTAGCAAGAACCCCCTCATCTAGGTAAATGAGTTAAGAAAACACCCCCTCTAAAAAATAACCCCATAGCTAATATTCCACCGAAGTGATATTTTCATAATTCCAAAACTACCCTTAATTGTCTACTATACTCTTTCAAACCCTAATCTTATTTTCTCTTCTCTCCCATCTCTTCTTCTCCCGTCTATTCTCTTGTTTTTTTTCTCTATATTATACTTTTCTCTCTCAATTCTTTAGATTATTCTCTCTTGATCGGAAGATGAAGAACCAACCAAAACAACGATGCTAATTCCGTTGAAGCCATTGTCGTCGGTGCCATCCCCGTCTCCGTCTTCGTCGTCGTCGAAGTCGGGGTCGGGGTCGTCGTCGGCAGATCTTAACAAAAGCCATAAATTGTCGATTTGTCACCGAAATCGGATTTTGATGGGTAGTGGTTCTGCTTTGGTTGGTGGTGCGAGTTGTGATTTTATTTATTTATTTGTAAAAAAACCATCATAATATCAAAGTAAGGTGATGATGGTGTGTTGTGACGGCGGTGTGGTGACGATGGGGAGGCAGATTTAGGGTTTTTTGGTGGATTGGACGAATGAAGGCGCATGTAGAGAATTTCGCGCAGGCTGAAACCTTAATCGACTATGTACATGTTCATAGTCGATTAAGCTAATCGACTATGCTCTGGTAGTCAATTAAGGTTCATCGACTCCAATTTTTTTATTTTTTTTTGAATTTTTTTGTTTATTGCTTTCAATTGTATAAATCATTTATAATATTTGTATATTTTTTGTTTTTGTAATATATAGGTTATTTTGTATTTTTTTCGCAGTTGTGATTTGTTATTTTTAGTAGCAGATTCTTAATCGACTATGCTACACATCATAGTCGTTTAATATACCTGATATAAAAAAAATTTAAAAACAAAAAAAAATTAAAAAATTAAAAAATTTCTTTAATCGACTATGAAGCATAGTCGATTAAGGCTAATCGACTATGTATTAAGGAAACTGATACAGAAATGACGGAAAAAAAAACGGAAAAAAAAGAATCGCTGAGCGCGTGAAATAGTGATGATGTGGCGGGCGGGGGCAAAGCTGGAAAACATAATGGCTGAAAATGGGTGTGGGCTTTTCTCAAATGGATTATAATATTTTGGGTCTCCCTCCATTAAAAAAAATAGTGAGGGGGTTTTCTCAAAGAGCCCCTATACTTAATTTACTATGTTCCAGCGGTGAATTATTAATGAATGATTGTAATAAAATGTTAATCATATGATACATTAAATGATTGTGTATATACTTACAACATCAAAACATGCAATTTGTTGTTCCGTGCATCGCACAGGTACAATTACTAGTATATATATATATATATATATATATATATATATATATATATAGAGAGAGAGAGAGAGAGAGAGAGAGAGAGAGAGAGAGAGAGAGAGAGAGAGAGAGAGAGAGTAATATTCCCCTTGGACTAAGTATTATCGGTAGTGTTTGCAAAGTGGATGAGTGAATATATGCCTCGTTAAAAACCTCAAGATGGAAGATCCAGTGGGACAAAATCAATCGGTCAAGAAAAAAAGAGCGCATAACTAAATCCAAGCCGTGTGCATAAATTGCCTCGTTAAAATCCATTGCTGAAAAACCCAACTGGACAAAACCAGTCATAACTCACAAGGGGAAAAAAAGTGCAGCGCACCATTGCTCCTCAAACGAACAATATAAACTTTTGAGCTAGATAGGCCGTCAATCTTACTTCACATTGGCTATTCTCTTTCCAATCTCGTAGACCAATTTGTCAATTGTAGATGTCGGCACGAACATTGTAACTAAATGCAAGGTTTGACTTGAGCAAATTTGTTGTACGTCGATTATGCGTATGGTTGAGTTTTTGGTGATATACGCTTGATTCTATCACCATTTATATATTGGCCTAGTTTCTTTGCTACACAAGCAACATTATCTTCATAGTGGACGTATACAGATCTCCAAGATATACATGCATCATTATAGAACACGATTCACAGTTATAATCATCGTATATGATATATTGATCAACCGACAATGTAAAAATATTATCGATGATTATATTATTTGTATCATATTTCAATGAAAAAACTTATAGGATTCTCGATATTTCCGTGATTTGATATTGCTTTTCCGATATCAGGCTCAACGGATTGTTCGGGAGCATACTCACTAGGAACCACTTGGTTCGAGGGTTCATTAAACCCTTTCTTTTTCTAGGAACAACATCATTTGATCCAATAGGTCTACCCCATTTTTGTCGTGGGGGATCATCATTCATTTGGCATGTTCTTCAGTAACAATGATCTGAGCTGGCACATTCACAGCTCGAATCTAAGACTTCGTGACTTTACTGGCATCATTAAATGTAGCAGGAAGTTTATAGATAATATTTTGTAAATGAATGATTCTATGGATCTCATTCTCACATTCAGAGGTACGTGGGTTTAGATGAGATAAATGTTGCTCACACAATGTGAGATTCTCCATTGGTTTATGTTTATCATTATCATGGATATTCTGAATATCCTCCAATTGGTATAAATAATATCCTCCATATGATAAGAAATGGGGTGCAATTTAATCAGTGCTGATGTATGCAATGATGCATGACCCCATTCTGCACTAGTGAGTTTAGATCTCATTAGTAATGTACGAGCAATTATTTGGACGTGTTTAATCGAAGATTCCGCCAGTCCATTTTGATTGTGAACGTATGCTATTGATTGCTCGACGTTTATTCACAGAGTTGCACAATAATATGTGCCAACAAACGCGCAAATTTTATATTTCGCGTTGTACGAGTAGGAAACATAATTGTTGCTATCCCGAAGCCATTTATTATCTCCACGAGATCTGATATGATTTTAATTTGTGCCTTGCACAATGTCTCACTCGAAAAATATATTTTATCGGTGAATATTGAGTGTGTAGTTGCTCCTCGAGTAGGCAATAGTCATATTTATCCATGTTGTTCATGTACGCGTGATCACAGTTCAGTTCGACCTTAGGAATATATCATCCAAGGGAGATATGTACATGTTTCTATACTCAAAACAACTCGATCTTGGGAATCACATCATCCAAGAGAGATTATACATGGATACACTCAAAATAGATCAATCTCGAGAATGACATCTTTCAAGAGAGATTATACATTTGGGTAAAAAATAACTCAAAACCCTTTATAATTTGGGCTTGTGATTAATAGCCTCTAAGTTGGCTCTTGACGAGTTTTACCTCGTTTAGTGACTTACGAGATTCAGGCTCGGATTTATTTTTCGATTTTTGGCCTTTAAATCGGTTTTTGACGGGTATTACCACGCCTGGACTCAACGATCTTTAGGCTCCGAGTTATATTTATGATTCAGCCTCTAAATTAGCTTTCTTGTCTCAACGAGTTTAGAATCGGAGTTATATGAACAATTTAGCCTCTAAATCGGCTTTCTTGTCTTAACGAGCTTCAGGCTCGGAGCTATAATTCATTTACATGATGGGAATTCCAACGTCTTGACTCAACGAGTTTCAGGTTTGGAGTTATATTTATGATTTAGCCTCTAAATCAGCTTTCTTGTCTCAACGAGTTTAGACTCGGAGTTATAGTAACGATTTAGCCTCTATATCGACTTTCTTGTCTCAACGAGTTTAGACTCGAAGTTATATTAATGATTTAGCCTCTAAATCGGCTTTCTTGCATCTACGAGTTTAGAATTGAAGTTATATTAACGATTTAGCCTATAAATCAGCTATCTTGTTTCAACGAGTTTAGACTCGGAGTTTTATTTTATTTATATGACTGAAATTCCATTGTCCTGATTCAACAAGTTTTTTAGCTCGGAGTTATAGTATGACCTCAATACAGTCTATGTAAATCTCTACGGGTAAGTATGCCCCGAGTTAAAACGATAGCCTCTAAATTGGCTTTAAACGGAGTATTATTATCTCAGCTCCACGAGCTTGTGCCCGGAGTTGATCTCATAGTCTCTAAATCGACCTTCATTTGAGATTATTATATCTTTTACTTAACGAGAATCATGCGCAGAGTTAATATCTTGGCCTCTAAATCGGCCCACATATCTATTAAAATTAGCACATGCTTATAGCACTGCTTGGGATCCACAAGCTTACATATATAAATTTCAGCAGCAACTGATAAGTGTTCGTTTTTCACGATTTTTGCGTATCAAATCTTCGAGTTTTGGTCTTCGTTCGTCCGAGTTTCGGCTTTATTTGTATATATTATTGCGTTTCTTGTTTTATTTCTATTTCAGGGTTTTATTAGGTATTTTTGCCGAGTCGAAGCCATTTGAAAGCGAAACCGAATTTTCAAGCCAATTTTGGGGCCAAGAAGACCCAGATCGCGATCTGACATCTTTGGATCGCGATCTGGGGGTTGTCACAGTACGAAAATGGATCAAGACCCAGATCGCGATCCAGCATTCCGGATCGCGATCTGGGGGTGCTGACAGAGAAGAAATATGGGTCAAATCCAGATCGCGATCCAGAAAGTCGGATCGCGATCTGGGGGGTCTTACAGAGAGTAAATGTTACAGGACCCAGATCGCGATCCACATTCCTGGATCGCGATCTGGGCACGCCTTTTGAGGAAGATATTTCATTTTGCAAAGCTTCTTGAGGAAGCTTTGCATTTCACTATAAATAGAAAGGCCCTTTAATTCTTCATTACTTCTTCGACTTTTTACGGTTTTCGACAGTTCTTCGCGGGAATCATCAACGGGGGTTCCGACTTGGGTTTTTCTTACGCAATTTCTTTACGTTTTGTTCTTCATTTCCTTTGTACATTCTTTTGATACTATGTTTGTTATGAACTAAGAACATTTTCTTCTAGGGCAATGAAGCCTTGTATATATTGATTTCGATCGTTATTTCTGTTATCTATTTGTCGTGTTTTGATTTCATTTATGTTTTTCTGTATTAAATGCTTCTGATTGTATTGATCAGCTCTCAGATTGATATTAAATAGGAATGAACTCGAGAGAGGATTTCTTGTTTGAAGTTAGGAAAACATAGCTCGGGGTGTGGAAACGGAGACGTGATGCACTTCGGGTAGCCCTTAAGGACTTGACCTAAATGATCTCTTAATAGCAGGTTCTGAACGGAGACGTCGGACCTGTGGGTAGACTCTAACTACATTGGAGACGGGGGTTAGAGTACATTAGCGTCTGGGTTAACGAATAGGAATGTGGTTTTAGATAACGGGTTTGTATATCGTTGTTGATTATACATAGGTGGATTTGGCCCTAGAAGTCCCTTTTAAATCGATGTCCCCCCGCGTTGAGTTGTCGTTACTTTATTTACGTACATTCTATATTTGCATGTTTACGATCTTGCATGCTTATAAATTAGGGTTTCACAATTCCAAATATTTACGATCGGCTAGATAATATAACGAAGAGTTGGCTTCTGAGTCTCAATCCAGGATCACTCACCTATTGGGAAGAATTATCACAAGCCTTTCGGGCACGATTCTTTCCACCCCCGAAGACCGCACAACTACGAAGAGATGTAGGCAATTTCAGACAGACTAGCCAAGAGCCGATGCACGAGTCTTGGGAGAGATTCAAGGACTTATTACGACAATGCCCTCAACATGGATTAACCCGTGGGATCAAATGGAGTTATTCTACAATGGGCTTGATCAACCAGCCCGATCTCTAGTCGATGCTACCTCAGGTGCATCATTGCAAAACAAGACTCCCACAGACGCTCGAGACATTGTCGAGCGAATGTGTGAGAATGCTTACCATTGGCCGTCCGAACGGAGTGGTGTACAAAAGGTGGCCGGAGTCCACCAACTCGATCATTTAGCCGCAGTTTCAGCACAATTAGCTACTCTTTCAAATCAGGTCGCCCAATTATCAGTTCGAGGGCCACATACCGATCGAGTAGCAGCAGCAAGTACTTCACAAGCCACAAACGACGATTGGGAGCAGACGCACTTTATGAACCACCGATTCAACAATTTCCGGGGAACCAACAATCAGAACCAAAACCTTACTCATTACCACCCGGGAATTCGGAATCACGAGAACTTCTCCTATGCCAATCCAAAGAATGCTCTACAACCACCTCCCGATTTCAACCATCAAAGAGAGCAACGAGGGCCAACGTATGACGAGCGTCTTCACCGACAAGATCAGGAAATGGAGGGCCTGAAATCAACAATGAAGAACATGGAAAAGCAAATAGGGAAAATCGCCCAATCCATGTCCACGATGACCAAGGATGGATTTCCGAGCAATACCGAAGTCAATCCAAAAGAAAGCTGTCAAGCCATAACCACCCGAAGTGGTTTGCAAATGACCGATCCTCCTTATCCGACAGAGGAATCACCAAGGCCAGCTGTACAACCGACCCCGGTCGAGCCAGAAATCACCATCTCAGTGAGTAGTACAAAAGAGGCTAGTAAGCCCAATAACATTTCTTTCCCTGATAATCATCCTCTTATCATAACTCCTATTCCTTTTCCAGAAAGACAGAAGAAGAAGAAGTTCAAGGATCAATTGAAGAAGTTCATTGAAAAGATCAAACAGATTCGAATCAACATCCCTTTTGCAAAGGCCTTGGAGGTGATGCCAAACTACACCAAGTTCATGAAGGAAATCCTATCCAAGAAAATTCGGATCGAAGAAGACATACCAGTGACACTCAAGACAACTTGCAGTGCCATTCTTCTGTCGAATCTACCACCGAAAATGAAAGATCCAGGGATTTACACTATTCCTTGTATTATTGGAAATTCTACTTTCGATAAAGCTTTATGTGATTTTTGATTTGGGGGCAAGTATTAATTTGATGCCTATGTCTGTGTTTCTAAAACTGGGTTTAGGAAATTTGAACCGCACTCGCATGACTTTACAACTAGCTGATCGTTCATTGAAATATCCCGATGGGATTGTAGAAGATGTGCTAGTTAAAGTAGATAAATTCATTTTGCCTGTTGATTTTGTGGTGCTTGAAATGCCTGAAGATGACGAAGCACCAATCATTTTAGGTCGTCCATTCTTAGCCACTGGTAAAGCGATGATTGATATGGAATTAGGATCTTTAATGCTTAGGGTAAATGGGGAAGAAGTTGTTTTTAATTTGACAGATGCATTTAAACACTCTGAGCGTGTTGAGCATTGCAGTAGAATAGACGTGATCGAGGCCTGTGTTTCCTCCTTTTTTGATTTGTATGAATTATGTGATTCTGTTGAGCACTGCATTGTTAATTCTATTGATTTGCATTCTGCCTCCCCTGAAACTCCTATTGAAAATGATGTGCTTGATTGTGTGTTGTTTCTTGAGTGTGCCGAGATTCTAGGTGTAGACGAGGTAGGAATCGTCCCCGAGATACCAGTTAGTGTGAAAACGGCCCCAGTACTGGAATTGAAACAATTACCGGATTATCTTTGTTATGCTTTTCTTGGAGCAGACAAGACTTATCCAGTGATTATTTGTTCTAGTTTAAGCGAGGCCGAAACAAACACACTGCTGGAGGTCCTTAGAGAATATATGTCGGCTATAGGTTGGTCTATTGAGGATATTAAGGGAATTAGCCCGTCTATTATTCAACACAAAATTCTAATGGAAGACGTCTATAAACCGAGAGTCCAACCTCAGAGGCGGTTAAACCAGTCAATGAAAGAGGTAGTCAAAAAAGAAGTCTTAAAACTGTTAGGCGCTGGTATGATTTATGCAATTTCTGACAGTCCGTGGGCCAGTCCGGTGCAGGTTGTGCCAAAAAGGGGTGGGATGACGGTTATTGTGAATGATAAAAATGAACTTATTCCGTCTAGAACAGTCACTGGGTGGCGTGTGTGTTTCGATTACCGATTATTGAATGCTGCCACTAGAAAAGACCATTTCCCCTTCCCTTTATCGATCAAATGCTAGACAGGCTAGGAGGTTTCGAGTATTACTGTTTTCTTGATGGTTATTCGGGGTACAATCAAATTTCAATCGCCCCGGAAGACCAAGAGAAAACTACTTTTACTTGCCCCTACGGTACTTTTGCATTTTGTAGGATGCCTTTCGGTTTGTGTAATGCACCTGCTACCTTTCAACGATGTATGATGTCTATTTTTCATGATATGGTAGAAGAATTTCTTGAGGTGTTTATGGATGATTTTTCTGTGTTTGGATCATCTTTCGATCATTGTGTGCACAATCTAGAACTTGTTTTGAAAAGATGTACAGAAACGAACCTTGTTTTAAATTGGGAAAAATGTCATTTTATGGTTCGTGAAGGTATTGTTCTAGGTCACAAGGTCTCGAAAAAGGGTCTTGAGGTGGACAGGGCAAAAATCGAAACGATTGAAAAATTGCCTCCACCGAAGGATTTCAAAGGGGTTAGAAGTTTTTTAGGGCATGCTGGGTTTTACCGTAGATTCATTAAAGATTTTTCGAAAATAGTAAAACCATTATGTCATTTGCTAGAGAAGGAAGCCGTCTTTGATTTTGATTCTGCTTGTTTGCAGGCTTTCACGTTTCTCAAGGAGAAGCTAACCCAGTCACCGATTATGATTACTCCCAATTGGGAGGAACCATTCGAGATCATGTGCGATGCGAGCGACTATGCTGTAGGTGCAGTATTGGGACAAATGAGGGACAAAATCTTCAAAGCCATCTACAATTTGAGTCGTACACTTGACCAGGCACAGAAGAACTATTCAATGACCGAAAAGGAAATGCTTGCTGTCGTTTATGCCGTTGACAAGTTCAGACCATATATTTTGGGGTCTCAGGTGATCATTTACACCGACCATGCAGCTATTCGATATTTGTTTGCAAAGAAGGACGCCAAGCCCAGACTCATCAGATGGGTACTCCTACTCCTGGAATTCGACCTGGAAATCAGAGACAAAAAGGGGAGCAAGAATGTGGTAGCAGATCATCTTTCCAGACTCATACTAGAAGAAGTTCCAGCCGAAGGAAATATTCTGGAATCCTTCCCAGATGAGCAACTGCTCGCCATTAGTACTCACACTCCGTGGTATGCTGATGTGAACTTCTTGGCCAGTGGAATCATTCCTGACGATCTATCTTATCACCAAAAGAAATGATACGAACCCCGTAGAACTTGTTACGAGACCCTAATACCTTACGCGGAAGCAAGATCGAAAACATCCAAAAACAAAGATTCAAAGGGTGGAACCGCGACCCGTTGCCTATAAAGAGGCAAGAACCTTGGTATGTGAAGACGCCACAATCGATTGTGAAAGATCGATTGGTAAGTCGGGGTGAACAAACGGAATCCACCGATATGTTCGAAGAGTTCTTAAAGAACCAAAGAGAATATTCTCAATTAAATCATCAAAATTCGTCCTATAAAATAAGCCAGATTGGCAACCTATTTATAAGGTCTAAAAAGACTCCTTTTTCACAAGGAAAAGGACTCCTACCTAAACTATAATAAGGAAATAAATAAATAAGCAAATCCTAACCATTAAGAACTCTAAAATACCAAAATAACATAATAAAACCTAAATTAAAAACGTGCATAAATAAATTAAATAACTTGATCTTCAAGTCGGCTTCTCGATCACCCTTCTAATCTCGCGACATTGGGCTGTGCACGTGCATGCAATTAAAGCTCAATTTCGACATTGTTCCACTTCGAATATCTCTTTTCTCAAAACATGAAAGTTGTAGATCGTTCAGTTGGCTTTCCGAATCATTTTGAATCAGCTCAATTGGACTTCGGATGCGAGAGTTATAACTCGAATGGTAAACTCGGATGCGAGAGTTATAACTCGAATGGTAAACTCGGATGCGAGAGTTATAACTCGAATGGTAAACTCGGATGCGAGAGTTATAACCAGAATAGGCGAGAATCTCGAATGCATGGAATTCGACTTGTCCAACGACTTCTTCTCTTTCTTTTCTTCCAATTCCTAACCACAGACTCTTCAATGGTCTTATTCAACCCTTTACTCTCCAAGGACAGCTCGAATAATGTCTTTAAACTCGTACGCTTTCGCGTCTTCCAATTCTTTGTCATGGAGCATCTCTGGATCGTATCATTCTCCCCCTCTTTAAAAGGATTCGTCCTCGAATCCGGACAAATATCACAAGGAGTATAAACAAAATTGACTTCATGATCAATCTCCCTCTTTGGCAGCATACTAACACATCGCTGCACCACATCGCAGAACACACCATCTTGCAGCCATTGAAATGTGTACGACCATGGATATTTTGTAGCTCGAATTCCCAATGCGTCCATCTGTATAGAGAATGGATGAAGCATCTCTCTAGGCACCGCCATCTCTTCAACATTCACACTGAGAGTTTGCACTTTGCTTAGCTCGGCATTAACTTCGATGCATGGCTGGATCATATCAAGAAAAAATTCCTTCACGACAGTCGTTTCTATCTATGGGACGAGCCGTTGCTTTTCAGAACCGGCCCCGATCGTGTCATCCGAACATGTGTTCCGGAAACAGAATTACGTGAGATTCTCACACATTGCCACTCTTCACCTTGTGGCGGGCATCACGGGGAATCTCGCACAACCGCCAAGGTTCTGCAGTCAGGCTTCTTTTGGCCAACCCTATTCCGTGATAGTTATGAGTTCGTGAAACGGTGTGATCGATGCCAACGAACAGGAAACCTATCCAACAAAAGCCAAATGCCTTTTAACAACATGCAAGAGGTGGAGCTTTTCGATGTTTGGGGCATAGACTTCATGGGACCATTCCCTTCTTCGAACGGGAAGTTATACATTTTGCTTGCCGTGGACTACGTGTCCAAATGGGTCGAAGCGATTGCCACCACTGCCAACGATGCTCGTACGGTCCTCAAATTCTTCCACAAGAACATATTCTCAAGGTTTGGGACACCTAGGGCGATCATTAGCGATGAAGGATCTCACTTCTGCAACAAACTGCTCACTAATCTCACGAACAAGTTGGGGATCCGACACAAAATAGCGCTTGCCTATCATCCGCAAACAAATGGCCTTGCTGAGTTGTCAAACCGAGAAATCAAACAGATTCTGGAGAAGACCGTGAGCACGAACCGAAAAGATTGGGCGTTGAAGCTCGATGATGCACTTTGGGCCTATCGAACCGCATTCAAGACACCGATTGGGATGTCTCCGTACAAACTCGTGTTTGGGAAAACGTGCCACCTGCCAGTAGAATTGGAGCACCGAGCTTATTGGGCAGTCAAAAAGCTCAATTTCGATCAAACAGCCACCGGCGATCGTCGATTGCTTCAACTCAATGAAATGGAGGAGTTCAGAAACGATGCTTACGAGAATGCCAAGATTTACAAAGAAAAGACGAAAAAGTGGCATGACAAAAGGATTACAAAGCGAGAGTTCCGGGCAGGTGACCAAGTCCTGCTATTCAATTCTCGGCTACGACTATTTCCGGGAAAGCTCAAGTCCCGTTGGTCAGGACCATTCGTAGTCCTGAGCGCAACCCCACAAGGAGTTATCGAAATACGAGGACGAGACGGTCCGTCGTTCAAAGTGAATGGGCAACGAGTTAAGCATTACTATCCAAATGGTGCTCCCGAGGAAGTGGAGCGTGTTGCACTAATTTTCTCCCAATAAATCCAAAAGAAGTCGAGCCGTCGACTGTAAAACAGGCGCTAAATGGGAGGCACCCCATTAATGCTCATTCTCTGTCATTTTTATTTTGTTCTTGCTGTCGTTTTCGTTTTTAGTCTTTTCTTGCATTTTTATATTTTTTAGGGTTCAATATCTCTATCTCACCCGTTGAAATTTCAAATTTTGTCCAGATTTGAGGACCCAGATCGCGATTCAGGAAGTCGGATCGCG